TCCTCCTAATCTTATAGGAAAGAAATTTAATTTGACACCTTTACCCCGAACTAACCAACATATTTGTGAAACTTTCCTTGAACAACATCTGTAATATTTTTCCATTGCTGTTTACCTACATCTTCCTACCCCAGTTGACTGTTTTATAATTTCTCACCTTGACCACTGCAGTATGTATTTTTTCTTCCACTTTTATTGAGATATAATGGATATACAACACTGTATAAGGTTAAGGCATGCAGCATAATGATGTGAATTGCAGACCTCATAAAATGATTACCACAATAAATTTAGACATCCATGATCTCATAGAAATAGAAAAATTGTTTTGTCCGATATTACAACCCCAGCTTGTTTTAGGTTCCATGAGCATGAAATACCTTTTTAATCCCCTCACTTTCAGTCTGTGTGTGTCTCTAGATTTGAAGCGAGTCTCTTATAGGCAGGATACATCACGGGGCTTGTTTCTGTATCCATTCAGCCACTCTGTGTCTTTCGATTGGGCCATTTAGCCAGTTATTGACAGGTATATACTTACTGCCATTTTGTTAACCTCAATCACTCATCAGATTTATCTTTGAAACTCTGGTGTGAACATTTTGTTCTTTCTCAAAAATCTGACACTCTCTTGCTTGTGGGATAAGTCTCAAGTGCCTTAACATGACAATTAATTCTTATAATTTGTTTTCAAAAATTGCTTTTCACAAACTCAAGTATATTCCTCAATCACTTAGGAGTTATATATATTTATACACACACACACACACACACACATACACAAATGCCACAAGGTAGTCACAATGTTGTGGCTTTGTGCCCTTCTTACATTACTTTCTCAGTAAAGTTTCCATCATCTATTTTCCATCCATGGCATTTCTGCTATGATATTTAATTTTGTGGGCTAGATCTCCCCAAGTGACAGCCGTGGGACACTGGAAGTTGCCATTTGTGTTACTGGGAAGCAGATTCTGAGGCAGGTATCAACATGCAGGATGTTTATTACAGACTGCAACACCTGTGGGAGAGGGACCAGCAGCACAGGGCACAGGGCAGAGGGAGAGGTAGGACTGCTGAGCAGTGATGACAGCTGTGCCTCTGGGTACCTGTGAGGCTGGGGTGGCTCTTTGGGGCCATCCCGAAGTGCAGTGAGAAGAGCAGTCCTCGTACTTCTCAAACGACCAGGCTGCCTCACGGAGGCGGTGTGGACTCAGGAAGGAGGCTGTTCACAGCCTAGGGGAGAGGGTTGTGATCAGACATTTGTAGCAGCTGGGGGAATACATCCTCCCTCCTGAAGGAGCATCTGGAGGGCACAGGGCGGCATCCCCTCAACCAGATTGTCCCCTGCTTATCATCCACCCTCATGAATCACTCCCTATCGTGTTAGCTCATTTCATTATTTTTTAGTACTTGCCACAGCAGGAAAACTTGCTTGTTTGATAGTCTTCAACCTGTTACCTCTACTGGAGTCTAACCTCTGTACGTTTAAAGATTGTGTCTTGTTTACTTTTATGTGTAGCATGTACAGCCCTGTCACTGGCACATGGTAGACATTCAGCAAATGCTTATTGAATGGATGACTGATAACATGTCATCTCTATAGCTAGCACTAAAATGACTCTAAAGATACTGAATAAACCCTTTAAAGTTGCTACTTAAGGTCACCAGAATACTCATGTTAAAGCTCTTATACATTCCTTTGCTTTCTGCATTTCTTGAGGTCAGAATTGATGATGCAAATAGATGTTGACGTTTATCCTAATAAATAAACAGGTAGTACCGGATACTTTTAATAATGTGCTTAATCTGGATGAGACTGTGAGTTCTTTAATGTATTCAGGTAGACCGATCTGATTGTAATAACCATCCAATGTGTCTGAGTCAACTTTGGAGAAGAGAAAACGTGCCCCTCTGCCCCTCACAGCTGGAGTCTGACGAGGCCGTCAACAGACCATGAGCAAGTTATTTCCAATATTCTAAGTGCTTCTCTCCATTAAATAGAGTTGAATCATATACTGTGAATTTTAGGTTCTCTCCCATATCAATACACTATTGTTACGCAGGTTTGAAATTACGGATGCAGAAATTTCCAATTTTATACGGATTTTTAAAAAATTGAATGAACAGAAATAACACATATAATAACACTTTTGAATTTCCTCTATGTCATTTTGTTTTTCCTTCCAAGAGATACATATAAACTTACTTGATTCATTTTTACCAGCCTTTCGTTATGTCATTTCAAATGATAAGAAAGTGTCTTTTAGTTCTGTCAGCTTGGCACAAGCAAAATCAGTTACGCTTCGATACTTGAAGTATCAGCCACAATATTAATTCTAGGTGGAAAGCAATATCCTTGCTTATAAAAGCGTAAACTAATGCATGTGTTCATGAGCCACATACAAAGTTTAAAACCTAGTCTCGGTTCATTTACATCACTACAAACAGAGTTGCTCTATTCGAGGAACTAACATTAGCCTACCGAAGATGCCTGTTCGTTTATTTTCAGTACCAAGACCCAGTATTATTATTCATATCGACTTACAAAAAATTTGTGAAGTCTCTTTACTGTCCAGTTGAATAGCTTTAGATTTATAGAGGATCACACACTGGCAAATAATCTTTAGTACTATTTATTTATACATATGTTTAATTTATATTCAGATTTTTCTCTGCCAAAGTAAGATACAAATATATCACAGTTTCATGTATTTCACCATTAGAAACATACTAGAATCAACTTGCTCTAAAAGTCCATATGGATCTTTATTATCTACTTAATTCTCTTCGCAAATGCAGATTTTAACTCTTTAAATGAACATCCATTTGGATGCCTTCCTACAGGAGGTCTGTAACTAAGCCACAGGGGAAATTGAATTTCAGATGAAAACATTGAAGGTATGCATGGGATTACGGTTTGTGATCCTAAATGCCTTTATTCTCTGCTGTAACATGTATTCAAAGAAAGGTATGTGTGTGTTGGGGAGGCTTGATCTCATCACAAGAATAACAACAACAAAAATGAGTGTATGGTAGCAAAGGCCATAGCTTTGAGAGTTAAAGAAGAAATCCATCTCTCTCTCCAGGAAGTAAAATAGGGGTGTTGATGAATTAATGGGTTAATATGTCAAACAACTTGTGAAGTCTTAGAAGTCGAGGGCTGATAACAAGATTGAAGCCATGGGATATTGTTTTGATAAAATGAAAAGAGCAGGAGTAACTTACAGCTAGGCTGGCCATAATCAATTTGCATAACGTCTGAGACTGGGGAAAAGACAAGAGAGAGAGAAAGTATGTGAAGCATTTAGTGAGGGTAGATACTTGGCTAATATTAAGCCCTTTCACCCTAACCTGTTTTTTAAAAAATCTTTATTAATGAAATAACTTTTTTCTCCTAAAGTGAAATGCAGTTTTCGTCTTTTTAGAATAGAAAGTGAAAGGTATCCTATGAATATAATTAAACTATGTTTGGCTATAGATAAAATTTGATGTATTTTCTTGTAATGAAATGTGCCCAGGCCAGGTCTGCCAAGCTCGGCTATAAGCAGGAGTCGGCCCTGTTGGCCCAGACGGTTGTACCTCCAGGCGCATGTCTTCCTCGTATATTTTTAAGTGCAAAAAAAAATTTAGATCACCTCCTCCCACCCAAGAAGACTTCTCACATGTCATTGTTCGGTTAGATTACAACTACGTTCCTAAAACAATTACTGGCAAGAGTAAAGCTCACTATGATTGGCATATACAAGTGGTCCTCAAACTTCACCACGAATCATAAGCATCTGAAGGGCTTGTTAAACCCAAGGTCGCTGGGCCCAGCCCCTGAGCCTCTGAATCAGTAGGTCTTGGATGGAGTTCCGTTCCCAGGTGATGCCGATGGTGCATGCTTGGGGACCACTCGCAGAGAATAGACTTTTACTAACACATACCTCCTTCCTGGGCCTGAAAATAAGGTGACCTTCCCTGAGCAAAAGACCAAGCAGTAGAGCACGAACATTAGGGTCTCTCCCAGTATTTCTCAATGATTTGTGGCTTATTTTTTTTACATTAAATCTGATTCTTTCCATATTGTTGTTGTTAGTAATAGTAGTAGTACGAGAAGTGGTGAGTAAAATCTCATCTCCAATTGTCTACCTAGTTTTCCTAAAAAATTCTAACTGTGTTTTTAACTAGTGCCACCTTCTGCGATTTTTTATATATAAAGTATTATGACAGTATTTTTCGGGAAATTAAAGAAATATCCTTGGAGTTTCTTAAAGCATTAGAACATTATGAGGAAGTAGAGGTTTTTTTTTTTTCATTGTTTTAATAAATATATTTTCGACAGTGATAGTATTGTTAATTTTGCACAGCAAATTTTAACTAAAAATGAGAAGCAATGTTAATTATAATCTGAGGCCAATTAATGTAACCTGTTAATTCGTATATTGTATGGTGGTGGTTATAACAAGATAGATTGGAGATCCAGTCCCTTCATGGTGCAGTCACTCTGTTTTTTTGACAGGATGGGCCCCTTATTCGGGTCTCCTGGTCAGACTCCTGTGGTTTCAGAAGGGGGTCACTCACAGCCTAAAACCTTTCTTTTTAGAAGAATAATTAAAAGTAGATAGCCTGCTTAACTTTTAATTCTTATGCTGATTTCGCAGATAAACAATTCTTTTTATTTTACTTTATTCTCCATTTATGGATCTGAGGTTTCCTCTTTTGGAAAGCATACATAAAAACTAAATTTGCATAACATGAAAAATGGGTCATTCCCTCAAGCACATAGAGTCGCGTTGTGTTTCAGCCATCTTAGCCACACGCAAATGCATCTTCCACTCAGAGTGACATGCTTCCACTTTTGTTATATAATTATTTAACTGCAGAAGTGTAGAGTTCCAGAAGAGCTGTCTCCTCTGAATTCTCCCTAAGCTGCTTTTCTATTTTGTCAAAAAGAAGTTGCCATTCTTCTGACTTTATCAGAGTAGACTATAAATAACGAAATCCCTGTTTTCTTTTGAAAGGAACTGTTGGACCTTCAACACGCCTACCATGAGCTAAGCAGACAGCACCAGGCTAAGACAGCAGACCTGGCCCATGCACACCACCTCATGGGGCAAAGTGAGGCCGAAGTCAGGAAACTGAGACTTCGCGTGGAAGAACTGAAACAGGGGCTCCACCAAACAGAAGACAAGGTACCGTATCAGCAGAGCACGTGTTGGATAGATTCAGAGTCACCTTTAGGAGCATAGATAGTTTTCTTGTTTTATTATCATATTGCGTTCGTTGACATTAAAACCTTCACATTTTAAAAACTAAAATCAATAAAAACGTAAGTGTAAGGGAAGAGGAAAACATTACGCAGACAACGCGCTCATCTTTGCGGGGCTGGGAGTGCATTTTTAAAGTTGTTCTCTAAAGCTCCAAATAGTTTCTGCTTGGTCCTGTGAGTGTGTGTGTGGGAGGGGGTGTGGTATAATTAAAATTTGGTGTTTTAAGCTTTACTCCTGTATAGTGGAGAAACATGATACATGTCATGATTCAATGTTATGATATATATTCTCCCCAGGGCTCTCTGGTGTTGAGTGCAGGCATCTTGTTTTGTGGGGTGAGGTCAACTTGCTAATGGTTTATGGCATGCTTAAGAGGTTTCTGGAAGGTGGAAGTCTGGGTGTGATGCCTTGATGGTGCACCTGCACAGGGAGGTATGATTCAGCCGCAGTTACCAACAACAGAGATTTTTCTTGAAAGAAACAGAACCTCAAACGTCACCGTGATAGTGACGGTCACCCCGTGGGCAGCAGTTACTTCCGATGGTGTTCCAGGCACCACATCTGCTCCTGTTGGACAACTTTTGAGGCAAAAGTAATTAGTTCCTTGGCTAGAAAGACTGTTTCCAGATAGTGCCAAACAGTTGGAAATTTAAAAAAGAAAACAGGATTTTTTTTTCCCAGGGGTAATTCAATAACAGGACATATTCCGCATTTTAAGATTTAATTTTCTTCAAAACTTTATGGTCAAGCAAACCAGATTTTCTTATCTAATAACATCACGTGAAAATAGAATCACTTGACCAGTGAGGCTCGGGCATTGTCCCCTGATAATACGTATTAGCGCTGACATGTCTGTTAATGGAGACACAGGTGCACTTTTTAATGATGTTCACGTGCAGTGAGGCTGGGCTGTGGAAGTGTAAGTCAGAGAAGCAATAAGGTAGGAAGGTTTGAGAGGATGGTTCTGGGTTTTTTATCTTATAACCATTATTCCTGTGAACAGTTTTGATATGTATTTGTTGGAGGCGGTGGTAAGTAAACCTCTGTGGTTGCCAGCACAGGCTTGGGAAGGAAAATTGTGATATTCTGCAGGGTTCCAGGACTAATGAGGTATCAGATCCCAAAGATCTGACTCAGCCATGCAATCATGCATTTGAGAATGGCCGTGGTCTATTATGCCACTGCCCCTCCCTGCAGGGGAAGCATCCTTCTCCTGTCAGCGTCGGCACGTGTGCCGATGGCTTCGCCACAGCCTGCTGAACAGCCACCACGTGCCCACTTACCATCAGGCATCCGGGGCTTTGGGAGGGCTCTGCCGCCCCTTTTCCCATGTTCCTTTTCTGCCCTGTCTCATGCCGGGACACCAGCAGGTCCAATACAGACTTTATTCTGTCAGCATGGATTCTGTAGTGAAAAGGGTATGGAGCAGAGCCTTT